GAAAAAGTAAAAGCTATAGTTTACTAACTATTCCAACCTAGTTCGACGAGATTCAGAAAAAATTGAAGGAAAATTCTAAATCTATGGAAGTCAGCAAAAAAGAAAACAGAAGAAAAACCGATCAAATTACTTGTATTTTTCTAAGATTATTGAAGATCGTGCCTCTGTGATTCAGGCGCAACACTTGGCTTGCTTTGCGTCAAATTTCTCGTACATGGTTGTTATCAATTAGGGATATTTTATTCTTAAATCTATCAAAGTCTGCAGAAAACAAAATAGAAGAAAAAACAGATCAAATTACTTTGGTGTTTTTCCAAGATTATTGAGGATCATGCCCATTTGATTCAGGTGTGGCACCTGGCTTGATTTTGTACAAATTTCTCTTATGTGGTTGTTGTCAACTAGGGATATTGTATTCTTTTTAAGCAAATGCCTAGGTCCAAAGAAGATTTGAAATTCCACAAAGATAGCTTTTGCTTGCCTTTATGATGTCCGCAATAAATTTCAGATCTCTGCTAATGGTTGCAAGATCCAGAATAAAATATTTCTATTTTACTCAGATCTTGTGGTTAGCATGATATTTCCACTACACTTTTGCCAAAGTCGTAGATCACCATAGAATTTAACACCTTAACTGTCCAGTTTATGAGTAGATAAAGGACAGAAGATAACCGACGACGTTTATCAATAAAAAGCATAGAAAAATGTATTTGAGAAATAAAGAACAGAAATTAAACCAATAAATTCATCCATAAATCACAGAGACATGAAAGTTATTTAGCTGCTCATGGCTCAAGAGAAAGATAATGGAAATTTCATAGAAATCAAACCTGCAAGAAACATTTTTATTGAACTAAAAATAACTTCCAACCTCTTTATTTCCTCTCTTACGAAAGCAACACTCTTCTCTAAAAAAGACCTCTCAGAAAAACAAAACAAAGAAAACTGACAGAAGAAGAGCATCTCTCTTTAACCCTAGCCTCCTAAATTTTCCTCTCCAAAAGATCCTTAAAGTCTTCAAAAATGTTATTTTTATAGCTTGATTTCAAATTCCTTCCCGAAAACCATCGAAATCCGCACAGAACAATTTCCAAATTGGAAAATATATGCTAGCATGATCACGCCCGATCTGCGTCGTAATTATGCCCCACTCTCTGGTTGGGTGGCACCGTCACGCCACAATTCGGCGTGGCTACGCTGTTCTCTCCAAAAACAACTTATAGCCTATTGATATTCTATCTTATAAAAGTAGCACTCTTCTCTAAAAAAAAACTCTCATAAAAACAGAACGAAGAAAACTGAGAGGAGGAGAAGATCTCTCTCTAACCCTAGCCTCCTAAATTCTCCTCTCCAAAAGCTCCCTAATGTCTTCAAAAATGTTATTTTTATAGCTTGATTTCAAATTCCTTCCCAAAAATCCTCAGAATCCCGCACTAAACAATTTCCAAATTGGAAAATATATGCTAGCGTGATCATGCCCGATCTGTGGCGTAATTATGATGAGCTCTCAGGTAGGGTGGTGCGGTCACGCCACAATTCGGCATGGCTATGTTGTTCTCTCTAAAGCGCATGTCTTTTATGCAGATTGGGCGTGACCACGCCCGAAACTGGCATGACCACACCGCATAAGTGGCTTGGCCATGATAAATCCAAGCTTGGTCACGCCGAACAGATTTTTCCTAAAAGTCCTTGTTTTGCTTTGATTTGCGTACTAGTCCTCTTGTAACCTATAAAATATCATTTCAACCTTCCAAAAGTGTAAAATCATAAATTTAAAGTAGGAAATTGCTGGAATTAAAGAATAAAAAGTGAAAATTTGACGTATGTCAATCCTTCCAAACTTTACCAATTATTTGTCTTCAAGTAATCATTTTACTTTGCTCAGATTTTTAAGGAAATAATGTACCTTTTTCTTTTATGCAATTCTTGGTCTTATTAAAAGAGAAGTGAAAAACTTGTTGAGGTTCCATAATTTCCACTTTCAAGTTAGGATTTCCTTGAACAATACAATTGTATACCTACCATGATTTATTTTCTATTTAAACATAAGAATTCCTTCTTATTTAAATTGGTAAGATTATGATTTCATTTTTCCTCACCAAAAATGATTTAGCACTTAATTTTTTATACAACTAAAACTCTCTTAACTTTTCATGCATTTATAAATTCTCTGAGTTTTTTGAAAAAAAAAATTGTGTAAATCATTTGACATAGGGAAGAGGCTAGAATATCAAAATGTTAGATCTGAAAGCATTTAACGTCATGCTTCTTCTCCAGGCCTTCCATGTACTCTTTAAATAGATATGTATATATCCCCCCATTTTATTCATATATATTGAAGACCTGCAAGAAAATTACTATTTCTGGTTAAGCATTAAACCACCTTTTTTCTTTTCCTTTTTATTTATATATTTTAACTCAATCTTAATCAAATCTTTACCATCCCTTATCGTGGGTCTGAGTTCCTAAATAAATTCAATCAAGTTGAGTTTAATCCCTCATTGAAATTAAACATAAAGGCTTTAGCATTTTTAATGAGAAGTTTTGAATCTCATAAGTCCCCCTTTCTAAATATCCAAAAATTTCTATGTTTAGGTATGAGAAAAATATTTTAGGCCTACAATTAATAAAATTCATTTTCATCCTTAACTTTAAATAGATTTCACATTTCCTCAACTTAATTTTTATTTTCCAAAATTAATGGACCAAGATGCATGAAAGTAGGCAGTAAATATAATCTCAACAAGTTAAAGAATTATCTGTAGGCAACTAACGAGATAATGTCTTCTTTCGCAAACTAATTCCACACCCTACTCACTACATGTGAGTAGTGCAACAACAAAATATAAAATAATACTGGATATGAATCATAAAAATGTAATAATGAAAAAAAATTAGTCCACTCATCAGTACATCACATGAGCATCTGGATATGAATCATAAAAATGTAATAATGAAAAAAAAATTAGTCCACAATGTCATCAGTACATCACATGAGCATCTTCATACACATCAGAGAGAACATGTCCACAATCGCATCAATAAATCAGAAATACAGAAAAAACAATCACTCAACAATACAAAACATCAAAAACAATCACAACACTATGTACTCCTCACAGTCACTCTTCTCCATGGTGTCACAGGTCAGGCTTCAAATTGTGAACGGTGGCGGTGGTGGTGCAGGTCTTAATCCTCAGTGCTCTTGAAATACTGGCAATAGTTATGAATAAACTTATATTGGTGTTAGCCAACATAATAGGCAAGCTGAGAGTGCAAGTCGTCAAGCTCCTAGGTCATCGTGTCACGGGTGCTGCGGAGCTCTCTCATTTCTCTGATTAAGTCTCCCTAGAGCGTCAGCTTCTCTCTCTTGTTTCTAATCAAGTCAACGAAGGTGGAGTCACGTGACACCAAAGGTCAACGTCGTGGTGAGCTATCTCCTCGCTCAAGAAAAGCAGCAGACATCGACTCGTATGCATCTACAGATGGTCTATTGATCGACTTCTGTGGGTGCAGAAGCTTCTCATCATTTCCTTCATAAACTCCCTCCTTCACACATAAGGTCGTAATTAGGCTCTTACTATCGACTAACCACTAGCTATATTTGCAATGGACTCGTGGATCAAAACATCGGCATTAACATAAATGCCCTTCTGAATGCGAAAATTCAGAACGACTCGCTCCTTGGTCACACAGTAAGGTTGGTCGTGGGGAGCATCCTAGAATTCATGGATAAGAGCTACTATGGCGGGTTCAGACATGTAAGTGAAATTCTGCCACCCACGACGCACGATCTCTACTTCTATGTCGCCCTAGGAAATTGAAAAGCTCTTTCCGGAATAAGTTTCTTTTTCCCGACAAAACTCAAAAAACATTGTTGAGCATTTGAGCTCACGAAACTTTTTTTGTTGTACGAAGAGGAACTACCTCTTCCAGACATTTTGACAGCCATGCAAATCAAATTATGTGAAAAGGAAGTTATGGTTTTTTGTGTTTGGCTGGATTTAGTAAATCCAACCGATAAATCCTATTAATAGGGGCCTACCAAACGCCGTCCCAGTAGGATTACATGTAATTATTTGTCTTGTTTTGCATGCCCATGCCTGACACTTGACACATTATTTATGCGTAAGAGCTACGGTTGAAAACACAAGATGTTTCAACAAGATGGTCATATATGGAATAATAGTCAGAGGTAAGCTGTGGTTGCCACGGTCCAGTATTTGCCTTATCATTGTGAGTTTCTTTGTCAAGCATCGCCTGTAGGAGGTTATGAATGAATTCGTAAAATAAGTCCTTTGGGCGAGTGCTTTTAGTTTGTCTTCCCCAAGATATCACCAATTGATTTTTGCCGTCGGATCTGTATTGTTCATGTTTGATTGATGAATAATAAGGGTATGGTTCTGTTGAGCCGATTTTATTTTTATTTTTATTTTTGAGGGGAAGGGGGGGAGGCGGTGGGGCGGGGTTGAGTGACTTCATACTCCGGTAATTTTAGATGACCTCTTGATTTGTGAGTTCTGATTCTAACCCAATTTGTGGCGGTTCAACTTCCTAGTCTGATTTTAGTCTTCCCTTAGACTTGGTTCACTTGTCTCTTGTGAAGTATTGGTGTGCAATTCTTGTTATTTTGCGGATAAATTTTATATGTATTTTAGCTTAGGGAGCTTACTGAAGTCATTGCAATGCAAAGAGCTAATGGGTGGCACACAATTCTTATGTATTTACATATCTCACACCAAAGCTTTTATATTTACACACATAGCACTCAAATCTCTAATATCACATAAAAATAACACTATTACTATTTAAAAAAGAAATTCATCTTTTCACGCATAAGGTTTAAAGCACCAAAATGCTATGTATGTAAATATGAAAGTTTGTGTGTGTGATAATTAAATACATAAGAATTGTGTGCAAGGTATGTAAATTTTTCTATAATAAGGTGTACTTTTTTGAATTGTTTACAGATTTTAGATGACACATTCCATCTCTGACAGGAAGTTATATCCAGAAGGGTTTTGGTTGATGAGGGTCTAAGGCAGGTGGTGGAGGTGGAACAGGCAGTAATTTGGAGATTTCTCTGGTGGTCTGGAACTATGTCGATTCAAGTCATGGTAGATCAGAACCGGAGAGATCATACTGTAAGCTTAAGCTGCATTCTTATCGCATTCTTCTTTAACAATTGCAATATGGAATTCAATCCACTTGTTATTCATCAGTTATCATACTTAATGGCTTATTCCGCAATGTTTATTTATCAATGCAGGTCAAATTTAAGCTAGGTAAATCAGGCTTTATGAGACGGTTTGAAGGCATTTGGAAAGTAGAACCATTGTTTCTTGATCAGGAACTCTGCTCTCCTCGTGAGCCTAAATCTTGGGCTGAGTATGACGCCTGCAGTGGAGGCAAGGGGAGAGTTGGATCTATGGTCAGCTTAGATCAGTTGATCCAACCAGCCCTAGTTCCACCGCCACCAATCTCATGGTATCTGAGAGGTGTCACAGAACGAACAACAGAAATGCTGATACATGACCTATTCGCCGAGGCTAGCAGATTAAGGGTAGGAGCAGCCATGAATTCAGTTCCAAGTCAAGGCCTTGAGGCAGTTTCTGATAAGAAAACAGGATTTGCAGTAAATGGCTCTACTGACATCAAAGAGAGATGGCAGCAAAGGCAAAGACTTGGGGCAGATTCTGATGAGAAAATTGGATTTGCAGTAAATGGTTTTATTGACATCAAAGAGAGATGGCGCTGTAGAAGTAGAAGAAAGCTTAGATAGAAGTAGCTGCAATCTTTTATTTGCTAATATGCCTTGGTGTTTTGACATTAAAGATCAATGGCGGTAATCCAGAGTAGCTGTTGAGTGCAACCAAACTATACAGGTTTGTCTTGGCAATCTATCACCTAGGCCTGCAGATTATACTAAACTCTCATTGATTATCAAATGATTTGTTAAGAATGACGCCTCATATTATTTCTTCTCTTTGCTTTAGCTAGGAATTGTCATGGCAGTGGTGAAACGAAATAAGTGTATCATTATTGAAATTAGTTAAATAATTAGTTAATTTTCTATTTTAATATCCTTTGTATTTGTTTTGTTGCACAATATCATGTCTTCTCTTTGCTTAAATTAAGAATTGTCATGGTAGTCGTGTATCGGAATAAATGTATTATTATTGTAATTAGTTAATTTCTTTCTTCAATCTTCTATGTATTTATTTAGTTTGTTATTGGAGTTTTTGGACTATTGTAGAAATTGCAACATCTCTTTTTTCTTTTTTGTTTTGTACTTGCACTTCTATTTTACCAAGTGTTGCCTAGCTGAGAATGATTAGGTGGATGAGTGGCTTTACACTTGGAGACAAAATGCAAAATGAATATATCCGTGATAGGGTTGGTGTAGCTCCAATGACGAACAAAATTAGAGAGTCATCTTAGATGGTTTGGTCACATTAAATGTCGGTCATCTGATGATCCGATTAGGAGAGTAGATATTTTAGATTCGACTTATGTTAAGAAAGACAGAGGTATAACTAGGAAGACTTGAGCTCATTGTATAAAAAATGATCTTAATTTATTAGAACTAAATGAAAATATGACACTGAAGGACACAACGGAAAAAAAAGATTCATGTAGCCGACCCCACGTACTAGGATTAAGACTTTGTTGTTGTTGTTGTACTTGCACTTCTATTTGTTCATAATATCTTAATTAAATGGTCATTATTATTAAAGGCCGTCAAAATTATTTTGAAGCCTTGATTAAGCCCCTCATCTTCTTTCTTTTTATGTTCTCTCACCTTTTTCATGTTCATGCATCGCCGCCCGACACATCACAAGCCGCCAAACCACCACCATACAACCTTTGCAACTTAGTAGCCAAATAATATGTGTAAGATGTGGCTCTCCCGACCCTTATATATGCTTCCCTCTAGCTGCCTTCACTTGTTACTTTTTTTCAGTTTCAAAATTATTTAATCCTTGGGGCATCATAGATTAGGTCGTTCATTAATATTAGTTGCCGAACATATTATTATTATGAGTGAAGAATGATTTGGTGAGCAGCAGGACGGAGCACCTGCAGCCTATGCGCCGAGTTGTGGGCGCTTAAGCTCCCACTTGGGTGCTACTCGAATAGAAAAGCCAACGCTTGTTTCCCAAGAGCATGAAGCATAGGCACAAAGTTCGGGCGCCTATCTGCCAGGAGTGGTTGGTAATCCCGATTTTGAGCGGCGTAAGGAAGCATTTAGTGTATCTTCCTTTGGTATTCTTCAATGAGCATTCCAGTGAAGGTGAGGGGTGTCAAATAGGTGAATTTCTGTGATTCGACATAATTTTTGCGTTGGATCGGAGAGGGAAGATTGTGGAGTGAGTCCTGTAAGTTTTTTTTTGTTTGAAGAGAAAACTTGTGTAAATTTTTTGTAAAACCTTCTGAATTTTGCAGTGAAAATTTCTAGCAGTGTGACTACTCTGTGATTTTTTCTCTTTTTCGGGGTTTTTCACGTAAATTTTCATGTGTTTTCCTGATTGTTTTGATTGTGCTTCAGTTTTAATTTTTGTTTCGGTTTTTTACTTAATTTGAGCGATCACGTTATTCCGCGATGTGATTTAGTTTATAATTTATCATATGTCCTGGTAAAGTTGGGAATTGTTCGTTGTGTGACTCCTATCAATTATCATGCAGTTCAATTAAAATATATCATTGCCAATATCCCATTGCAATGCTTGGAAATGCAATGAAGATAATTTTTCATTCTCTCCCTCTATTATTGCATCTTCTTTAGAACTTAAATTTATTTTTTAAATTTGTGGATCTCAATCTTACCATCCTATGATAATTTCATATACTTTCCAATGTTTATGAATATATATATCAACTACATCCAATACTACTTTGGGGTTGTTTAGTTTAAAGCTGCAAAGTATTTCAGGTGCAAACATTTTAGAAGTATAGAGTATAGATATTTTGTTTAATGAAAAAAAATTCTAAGTAAAATTATGAAAAATTTAAAGCTCAAATCTAAGCCAATTTTAGTTGTATTCCAAAATTGGCTAACGTCCACCAACGCAACTATTGTCCTTCCAACACCAACTTTTTGGAAGGTATTTTGTTGTTTTTGCAGGTTGTAACAAGAAAGAGGATGAACAGGAATCGAATTGGAGAGTGGAGGAAAATTTGGGCCATCGGGACATAGGCGCTGGCTACTGGCGCTTAGATGCCAGAACCCTCTTAAATTGAGCAAAAATCCCGAGAAGACAGAAAGTTAGTGTTGTGCACTGGGCGCCTAAGCGCTACTATGGGTGCCTAGGCACTATGATAGCCGCACCATGACACTGGTCTTGTGATGAAAATTTTTCAAGTGGCGCCTAAGCACCACAATATTGGCCCTTAGGCGTCAGACCATGTTTTCAAACTGAGAGTTTGGTGCATAGGCTCCCGAAACTGAAATTGGCAGTTGGAGTAGTTCAGACTTTAGGAAGGGGAGGAAATATAAAAGCTTTGAAAACAAATTTGGAGTGGCTTTTCACCATTTTTTTCTTCTGTCATTCTCGAGAGGAGAATTAGAGGAGAAGGCCAAAGCATTAGCAAAGAGATTAGAAGAGAAATTGTGAGGATTGAGAGTGTGGATTGTTTGTTGTTAGAGAAATCATCTAGCTTCTTAATTGTGGAGGAGACAAGTATGATTACCTTGTTCTTTCTTCTAATTTTCGGTGTAAAAACTTTGGTTTTGATGTTTATGTATAAAACTAAGTTTATTTTTTTGAGATTTGTCATAAATAGTGATCAGTCTTCTTGTTTCTCTCTTTAATTGAGATGGATATTAAGTATGACAAGGGATTTGAGATTGTTTGGGCTTTAATTTGAGTTTAAAAGTGTTTGTTAAATTGAGAACTGAATTTAGTTTCAATCTTGGCCAGTTGATTGTTAAAATTTTTTATGAACATTGACATCCGGAAGGATTCTTTATGAAACAAAATAATTAACAACATGAATTCATTTGAATAGGGATATTGTCATTGGATTCATGTAGTTTTCTAGGGGGCATCTTCTTGTGAGCAGTCTAAGAGATTTAAGGAACTGAAGTTAAGTTTGCTAATTTTCTTTACTCCATCGGAAGGGGATAAGGAAGAAATTACTCCTAATTGATACTAAATTTTTTAATCTAATTCTTAGTCATATTCATCTCTTGATCAATTAAAGAGGGAAACTCTCAACCTTTGATTTGGTAAAAGAATCTTTTTGTTTGTTAGGATGGATTAGTTTTTCATAGCTTTTGAATAGGTTTATAAATTGAACAAGCGCATTAAACTCTTCTGGATTAGGCTGGAAATTGTAGGCTAGAACTTTTCTAAGAATTCATCTCGTTCCCTATGGAATTGATAACTAGACTCAAACCTTAGTACTACTGATACACCGCATATACTTGTGTGAGTCGTCTGTGTTTCGCAGCACTTTGTGCGTGTTAATTTTTTGACACTATTGTCGGGGAATGACTGTGAATTTGAATTAGTAAAATTTTAGTTGAAATTTTTAAGTTATAGATTTGTAAATTGTAGTGTTCATTGCCTCTTGTTCTTTTAATTTATTGTCTTTGCTTACAAAATCCAAAAACATCCTGATTTTAAATTTGTTTGATTGTGAACTTGTATTGTTCCTTACTTTTAATTTTTGCATAATACATGGTGTTTACTTGTTTGATCGCGTAGTCTAGTTGTTAAGAGTCTATATAGTGAGTGCTTGTTTTTATTGTTTATATTGTTCTCTTTAACTTCAGCTTACCTTCCTAGTTGAACCTGGTTAGTGTATGTGTAGCTAAATACCTTCAGGACTCAAACCCTACGACTCTTAGCTTGAGAGAAATGTTAAAAAAAATTAGAAAACAAAAAAGACTTCAACAACTTTTAGCATAAATGGCAAATAATACTCAAAATAAACAAGAGACCCATGAACAACACGACATGCTTAGACCTTTGAGAGACTATACCAACCCTACGGTAAATGAAATACATCTAAATATTCATACTCCCGTTGTAGACGTAAATACCTTTGAAATGAAGCCTGCTATCATTCAAATGGTGTGGAATAATCAGTTTGGGTGGACATTTTTGAAGATCCTAACCTATAGCTAGTGAGCTTTTTAGAACTTTACGCTATATTTCACTACAACGGAGTCTCCAACAAAGTCATGAGGCTCAGGCTTTTCCCTTTCTTCTTGAGGGATAAAGTCAAAATATGGCTAAACTCCTTAGCTCCTGGATCACTCAAGACATGGAATGACATGACCCATAAATTCTTAGCAAAGTGCTTCCACCTTTGAAAATGACCAAACTTAGAAACAACATAACCTCTTTTTGCCATATGAAGGTGAATCTATCTATGAAGCCTGTAAAAGATTCAAGGAACTCCTTAAAAAGTGCCCCCCACCATGCTTTGCTAAACTAGTTGATAATTCAGACATTTATAATGGGTTAGTAAGATCTCTTTAGATGCTGCCACAGGTGGTTCTCTTATATTTAGACCCATCAATAAAGTCTATTCTTTGATTGACGAGATGATGACTAATAATTTTCAATGGCATTGTGATAGAACCAACCATAGGAAGGTAGTCGACTTTTAGAACACAGATGTTCTTTATATTTTGACTTCTCAGGTGGCTGCTATGTCTAGAAAGTTAGACCAACTAGGCTTGAATCAGTCACGAGGACCATCAATCAAAGAGGAAAATTCATATGGATAACTGGTGGATCCTAGGCTTTGCCTCTCGAGATCCTGAAAGCCATTCAAAATAGGTATAATAACCCTTATTCCAATACTTATAACCTTGGTTAGAAGAATCATCCCAATTTAAATTGGAACAATAATAGTCAAGGGATATGTTGACAATTTGGCAATTAATGTTGTTTGTATTTATATATTTTTTATGATACAATTGCACTTTGAGGAAGGATTTTTGTTGATTTTGTAGGTTGCAGCAAGGAGTGGACAATTATGAATCAAATTGGAACGAATTGGAGATTGGAGCAAAATTTGGTTATTGTGTGCTTATGCACATGGCCATTGGCATCTAGGTGTCAAAACCAAGCCGCAAATCCGAAAGCATGGATCCAAGGCACCATCATATGGGCTCTTAGGTGCCGCGACAATGGGCGCTTAGGCGTCGTGAAAGTGGGTGCTTAAGCTCAAGTTATGCAATCCAAACAAGGAGCTTGGCCGCGCCAGCCTTTGAGCGCCTAGATGCCCAAAATTGAAATTAGCACTTAGAGCAGTTCAGACTTTGAGATCATGGGATCATGGGAAGAATATTGAGGCATATATGAAAAAGAAGGGAGACAAAGTTGGAAAAGCTACTTTGCTTTAGTTCTGTTTTTCTTCTGCCTTGACAGTAAAAAAAGCTTATGGAGTGAGAGACTTTGAGAGACAAGTGCTTATATTTCCATCTGTTCTTAATTGTGAAGAAGAGAGAGATAAGTTCTTTCTGTAATTTTTGTAATATATTATTTTCAATACTCCTGCATTTTGATTTCTCATTTAATCAAATGAATGTATTGGTGTGTCCAAGCAATGAGTAGTGAGTAATCTTTATTTTTCTCCCTTGGGATGGGGAAGTAAGTCTGATTTGTGTAAAAGTGTTGTTGTTCTTTGAAAAACTCTGCAAAGGGAATAAAACAAGGGGCGTAACCTAACTAAAATAATCAGCTGTGTAATTAGTAGTATAAATGTCCACTTTTCTTCTAAGTTAAGGAAAATGAGATAGAAAAACAGAAGATCACAATGTTGTAATTGTATTCTAGTTACAACATCCATAATTGGGTTATAAGAACTGTAGTTGGTGGCTGTACTAGCAATAGTTGGCTTCAAAAGTTATAGTGGGTGGTTATAATGGTCGTAGTGTGCTATATCAATTATTGGTGTTGGTCGATAATAGTTGATGATCAATAATGATCTATGGTGGCTGATGATGACTTTTGGTGGTTGGTGATGAACTCGGGTGACTAGCAACAATCATCTAAGCTTTAAGAGTTAAGTTTTAGTAGTCAACTCACTCTCTTCTCTTCTCCCCCCTATTCATGTGAAGAATGAGGATCTATTTATAGTTTTTGAGAAAGTCATTTTGAAAATTTGGGCAATCTCCCAAAACACTCCAATAGGCGTTCCCCATTGATTCCATTGATCACACGTCGTTTTTGCAACATTTAAGTGTTATAATGACACTGGAATTGAATGATCTTGAGCTCATTAGATTTCTCCCGCCAATACACTCAATTTGAATATAGAGGCGCTAAACTTTAAGATTATTTTGCCTTCTAATTGATGCACCAAAGCATTCAACAACACTTCAAATGTTTGATCTAGTTTATGTAGATTCATATTGGATCATTCTAAACTTCATTAAATTCATCTTCTCGAGATGCTCAGTTTTACTATAAAATTATTGAAATTAAGACCTAAATGAACATGAATTTGGCATGCTTATATTCAGGTTAAGCTCTCGAAAAGAGAGATCCAATGACCCAAAGATCATTCAACTATGACTTGACACCTGGGCAAATTATGTAATTTAATCATGCCTATTTCATAGTTTGTTAACATCCTCCTATTATACTATGTCCAAATTTATTTTGGATTTTTTTTTTCAACTTGGAAACTAATTATTCTTGGCTTCCCCAAATTTTCCTAACATTGAAACTCAAAATTTGGATTTTTTTTCTTACAATCGACGAGATGACGGTTGATTTATTGCAATTTTGTGATGGTGCAATTCTAAAGTTGGCTATTATTGTACAAGAAAAGTTAGAGAAAATAATCTTACTTCACGCGTCATAGTTATGACATGCTATGATTAAAAATTATTTTAAGAAGCATTCTTTTTCATTATGTCAACAAAAGTTGTGCAAACTGTTGATTCGGCCCAATCGGTTAAAAATTTTATCAAACCAATCAAAATCAAAATAAATAACTAATAAAATCGAACAGACTGTATAAGAATAAAATTGAACCAAATTGAATAGAAATATAATTCAATTTATTCATACAAATTTTAGTTTAACCAAATTTTGTCCTAATGAAAATGAGTGCATTTGGTCAATTCAATTTGATCATTAACGAATTTATTAAACAAATTGATTGATGAATTTAGTTTAATCGTAGCATAATTTAGTTTTTAGGTCATACTTTTGTATTTTTCATATTAAACCAATAACCGAAATCCAATAACCCTCGAGTTGAAATAAAAATTGAAAATGTGATTTCATCAACCCAACCAAGTCAATCAAATACGCTTTGTTCAGTTCAATTCTCTAGTTTAAACCAATTATTGTGCACCCCTAATGTCAATCGATAATGATGCCCATAAGCTAGTAATATCTTCTGGCTCCCGTCCAATGATACTCATGACCCACCTCATTATTATCCTCATCAAATGTTTCCTTAGTTTAGTTCTATTGTATACTTCTTCAGCTTTAGCCAATGGATTTTTTTGCATCATTCACCCAACGGCTGAGCCACATATCTTTCTATAATGCTCCAGTACTCGGATTTGCTCTAGCAAAAGGCATGTTGCAGGGAAGAAGACCTCTAAACCACTAAGCCCCATGACTAACCGCAACAAAATTTTAGATTTTTTCATAATGATGTATATAACTCATAAAAGGTGTGGCTCCAATTTGCAACATTGAAAAAACAGCACACTCTAACCACTGAGCTGCGGACTCAATGGTTGAGAAAATTATTTTGCTTAAATCACAAGTTCAATTCACACATTTTACAGCTTACCATTCAACATCTAGTCTCCTAATGCTCTGCTCCAAAAGACATATAATTAACCTCCTCGGCAACATTCGCATTCGCCATTGTTTGTTGCCAAATCCTTAAGATGGTTTAAGCGGAGTCAGTAACTGGATGACACCAGTTAGGCAGATCGCACTTCTAGATAAAGTAGGAACACTCCCTGAGCAAGCAACCCTACAGTTATGGTTCCAATCACTAGTACGGTCGCTTGTTGGACCACCCAAAAACAATCTTGCATCATTTAGTCTCTTTTATTTAGGACTGTTCTTGGGCGGTATTTGGTAACATTCTATTAATAGATTTAAGCATTAATTTAATTTAAACCCTGCCAAACACAAAAAAATTTTTTAAATTTATTAAAAGATAATTATAAATAAGTTTATATAATGATGATTAACCTCATAAAATGTTTATTAAGGAAGATTTACATACATGTCACTTAGTTCGTTTGTATTTACATATCTTACTCCTAAATTTTAAGCTTTACGTATGTGCCACTTCAAGTAAGCATGAAGAGATACATTTCACTTTTTAAAGCTTAAGAAGTGATATTTTTGATGTGATATGTAAGGGGAAAAACCAAATAATAAGAAAAATTAAAGAATCAAGGCAAATAAAAGAAGGAAAGGAAATTGGGAAATAGTAGAAATCAAAAACAACAAACCAACCAAATCAAAACAAATAATAATAATAAAAAAAGAACCCCAAATCCATAACCGTAAGACTCAACCAATTCAATGAAAGTAAACTCTTAGTACGATGAAAAACAAATCTCTCGAATAATATATTCTTAAAGCAATCAAAGAAACAACAAGTTTTATACTCATGGTTAGATCTTAAACACAAAAGTCACCCTTAAAATGAGAGAAAAGTCAAATCAAATCTCAAATATAAGTTTAAGCTTCATTAAACCGATGAAAAAATTTCCCTTCAAGTTTCATGAAGCAAACATTATATAAGAGAAAATTAGGATATATTTCCAAAAGAACGTTTAATACTCAAAATCTGGATTGGGTACATCATAACAAGAACCAAAATAAAGTAAAGAACCAAGAGTAGTAACTTGCTTATCAATGAAATATATGAAAAAAATATAAAAGAAGAAGAAATAACAAATCCCCAACATAGACAACCAAAAAGAAAACCAAAATAGCAGAGCAGGCAGAAAGAGAAAAAAAGAACCCAGGATTAAGAAAACCACAGTAAAATCCAACAGAGCCAAACACTCACAACTAAAAACCAAACCAAGGAAAAAAAAACACAATAACCCACATTCCACAAGAACTCAAAAGATCAATCCACATAAAAAAAATTAAAAATTAAAATTTGTAGAGATGCCTCAGAGAATAAAAAATTTAATTTTTAAAATTCTACTTTTTTTCTCTTAAAATTGATCAACCAACAAATATATCGAATATTGTAATCAATATAAGTATGATTATTTCTAAAATTTTAGTATTTCTCTCATACCAAATAACATAAGCATTTACTTGTAAAACCAAAATTTAAAAAGCTTACAAATTTTGCAAGTCAAACTTTTAGAATGATACAGAACTTGAATAATATTACTATAAGCAGTAAAAAAAACTACCATCAGATAAACATCTTGTAAGAAGCAAGTGAGAAAAATGATATTGAAAAAAAAGATGATCATGTGTTTCAAGTTCATTCGAACATAAAACACAAGTGAAATTAACATGCATCCCTCTTAATGAGAGAATATCACAAGTTTTGAGCCCTTTAATAATCACATTCCTTATAGGAAGAGCATATTTTCTATAAGAAAAACCTTAAACCAAGCAGATTATACCAATTAATAGAAGAATAAGAAACAAAGAACAATATAAACAAAATTATGAGAATATATAAAATCATTATTCCAAAAATAAGGTAATTGGTTATAGAAATCTTACTTAAAATCTTCAATGCAAAATTCATGAGCCAAAGAACAATATAAACAAAATTATGAGAATATATATAATCATTATTCCAAAAATAAGGTAATTGGTTATAGGAATCTTACTTAAATCTTCAATGCAAAATTCATGAGCATTATGATTTTGATAAAAAATTCCAATGATCATTATGAATAATATCCTTAAGTTTCATATTTAGGAGAAAATTAAACAAAATAAAAATAGAATCCCCAAACTAATCATTAAGAGAAATCTCATTAAACCAAGGATTAACATAAAAAAATATGTGGCAATTATTAATAACGTTGAAACTTAAGAAACCTCTAAACTTTTTTGTAATTCTGATAAGATCTATCAAAAAAGAGTAGATATATAATGAGTGTTTCTCTAAATAAAGCAATAATGATTGAATAACCATTCTCTCAAATAAGAATAAGATTATAAAATTTTTAAATAATTTTTATTTTACACATAATATTTTTAGTCGGGAAAGGGAAGACCTAAATCACCAACTTGCTTAGATAACATAATTTTATTCTAAGAAATTATATGGAACATCTTAGAATCATTGTTATTAAGTAATAATTTGGAGATTAAAGTACAAATATTCTTCCTCAAATCTTTTGATAATAAAGTAGAACAAAATTAATAATATAAATAACTCCAAATAATGGATTTAATAAGTTGAAATCTACTGCCAACAGATAAAAGTTTTTTCTTCCAACCAGCATGCCAAAAATAAATTATATCAATAAATTTATGACAATCAACAATGACCAACTTAGAAGGTTTTATGGTAACACCATGGTAATCCCACGGTAAATGTTTGATAGAAAAGCCACATAAATTACAAATGTGCAAATGAAGATTACTATCAACAGTTTTAAAGAAAGCAATGACATATTTAGAAATATTTATATAAAGACAGGAAGCTTTACTAAAATTATTGGAGTATTAGAAATTAAACATGATGATGATAAGCCTTACAAGAAAAAAATTATCAGCATAAATTAAATGATCTATAGTATCAACATAGTTATTTCTAGACAAATGATTATAAAACATAACAGAAAGAATCCATGAAGATAACAAATAAGCAAGAGGAAAAAAGGAAACATTGTCTTAACCCCAAAGAAGAAGAGAAATAATCTTTTAATTCACTATTAATAATAATAAAGAAATTAGCATCACAAGTATAAACAACAATCCTGTTAATGAAAATATTGGGAATACCAAACCCTTGTAATCTTTTATACAAAAAAATCCTATTAACCTTATCAAAAGTTTTAATGATATCAATTTTAGCAAAAATTATTTTGGCGTTATTACTAGAATTAAATTCATAGAAAAGCTGATTTGTTAAAATAATATTATCAGTAATATCATGATAACTAATAAAAGTAGCTTAGACAGGATGACTGATCTTAGAAAGAATCATTTAAGTTTTCAGCCAATAAAATAACAATAAATTTATAAAATGTATTACATAAAGAAATAGAACGATAGTCAAAAAAAGAAAAAGAAAAAGATGAGAGACAAAGCTCGGGCTGGGCATTTTTCTACGCCTTTCAGATGGCCAGTCCATGAAAAACTTATTTGTTTATGTCTAGTTTTAATTTTTCATTTGTTTATGTCTAGTTTTAACTTTTGATATTAGCCTTCGGTTTTAATTTTTCATTTTTTTCCTTTTTGTTGGGTGTAAAATTGCCATTATTTTATATTCTCAACTTGGTTATGAAAATATCCTTTCAATCTTAAAATGAATGGGGGTATTTTCTTATGTATTTATATATCTAACACCTAAATTTTCATATTTACATGATGCTTACCACTTAAATCTTTGATAATACATTAAGAATATCACTATTACTTACTTTTTCAAATGTGGAACACTTTTGATGCATATGTTACGACTTCAAATTGGTATAAGTGTAAATATAAGACTTTAGGTGCTAGATATGTAAATAAACATAGGAATTATGTGGTAAGAAAATCAACTATCAACTAATTAGATTACTTTTCTTAGCAATTAGGATCGTACCTCTTCACTTTAATCTCCTTTAATTAAAACTTTCTTAAAGACTAATGAAGATATTTAAAAGCAAAACCCGTGCTTATCTTTTCTATAAATCTCTCAACAACCTCAAGCCTCCCATGCACCTTCTCTACTCTCTCTCTCTCTCTCTCTCTCCACCATGATGGGGGATGTAGAAGAACCCAACAGCGTAGATAAGAGTGTCAACAACAATGAGGAGGCCGAGATAGTGAGGAAGGGACCATGGACAATGGAGGAGGACCTCATACTCATCAACTACATAGCCATTCATGGTGAGGGGGTGTGGAACAATCTTGCTCGATCTGCAGGTACATATTCATTACATGCATGTATATATGCATGATACATGTTATGTTTCTATCTAATACATATATAAATTTTCCTTTTGGTTGATATCATGTGTATATTTGATAAGGTCTTAAGAGAACTGGAAAGAGCTGCCGGCTTCGGTGGCTGAACTATCTCCGGCCAGACGTGCGCCGCGGGAACATCACACCTGAGGAGCAGTTGCTGATCATGGATCTTCATTCAAGGTGGGGAAACAGGTGAGCTTTTTTTATACGTTTGATTAATTAGCTTTTGACATCATAGTCCCATGTAGACTCAACCATGCTATTGTGCATGGTGACGTGGTTGAATCCATATTATCGTCCTCACATACGGATGTTCAGACACAATATTTTCTCAAATTCATGACGAGGAAAGATTAAAGAGTGAGGAACACATGCTATTGTGCATGGTGACGTGGTTGAATCCATACTATCGTCCTGACATACGGATGTTCAGACACAATATTTTCTCGAATTCATGACGAGGAAAGATTAAAGAGTGAGGAACATTGACACAAGTATTAATGTATGTTTTATAGGCCAGAATTTAATTATCCTTTAAAATAAATCCAAATTTGAAAGAACAAATTATATAGTAATAAGAAAATAACAAATATTTATTTTTATAAAATTACAAACTGTCACGTTTAATAATTAGACAACTCACAATTACAAAACCGTTGTATGCATGACAATAATTCGCCTTGCCAAAAAACAAAAGGGAATCATTTTCCTTTTATATAAAGCATATATACTATGATTTGTGATCCTTATTAAAAGTTTTGAGTTATATTAATCTTTTTTCATATAAATTATGATCCATATCATTAATTATTTTAATAAACTATTCCAATAAAATTAAATCAAGTGCATAAAATTTAGAAAATCATAGAATTTTGACTCATAAATTTATAATTTTTTAAAAGGAGGACCCACTGAAATACACGTGGTGTTGTGCTATTGTAGTCCGGACACAGAGTGCATCCATCCAGAGACTCTATATGTAAGATGTTTTTCTTGAAAGTGAGACGGAAAACAATTTCTGATATATTCATGGCCATTGCATTATTACAGATAGCCGTAAGGTGTCACAATCAAATAGTTTCTGATATTTAGATTTAATTACAAGGCATAAATATGAACGAAAAATCTCAATTTTAATGGCCATTTTCATAAAAAGATAGAACTAAAATCGCTATGTCACCTGTGGCTTGTAATTCTACACGTTGGAGAGAATTCCAAAGCAAAGTGGAAAGAACTATTGATGTGATCATATTGGTCCCGTTAAAAGATAGCACTCACATTAATCATCATGTCGTGAAATATATTCTCGAACAAACAATTGAAAGGGAGAATTGAATATATACTCGCTCGCTCGTTGAAGTGCATGTCTATGATGAAAAAAATATTACATATGTTATAAGTATGTGCGGACGATGACTGGATTCATGAAAATTGAAATACACAGTATCTGATCTATCGTAAGTAAGTATGTATAACATATGTAATATTTTCTCCCTACGAAGATATTTTCTATAAACTAATGAACATGGCTTTGGCAATTGTCGCGGGTCCTATTAATGAAAAACGAACCCTTATATATTTATTTCGCTGCTACTTACATTTTTGGCAATGATTTTTTGTGAGCAAAAGAATTATTTAGCAAGAAAACTATTTAAGGAAATTCCTTCATCTTCACGATAGGTGCCATCTTAATGCTTTGTCATTTCCTAGAATGATTGAGCTTTGCTTTTAGTTTGCAATAGACCAAGGTGTGTAACATCTTTAGTGTCTCTTTCAATGTTATTTTGTAAGTACATCTTAGAACTAAGCTTAAATCATAAATTTGTACTATCAAAACTTTATAGAATGATAAAAAGTTAATGCAAACTAAGAAGGTGTTTGGCCGGAACTAGGATTTAAGTTAAATAGGATTAATGAATCCAGTAAATCCATATTTATCAAATCTAGATGTTGTTAAATTCAAAATAATGTTTGGTTCAATTAATATTAAATCCACTTAAATCAATGTCACATGTTTTGCATAAATCCCTTCGAAGTATTTTTCATCCTAAGCTAAATATCTTAAATTCTTGCATCAAATAACTGGATCTAGTAAATCCAAATTTACATCGTAAAATAGACAGAAGAAACGAGAGGAAACTACATTTAAAGGAGCGTTTGATTTTTCTAACCTATCTTTTGTGTTTGATGGGATTTCTATTAAATCTTTACGCAAAACTTGCTACGAAACATCATCTAAGATACGGATCATAAGATAACATTCAAGAGCTAGCCACACTCATCTAATCATTCCTCCCACTTAACCCAACACCTATATGCATCTTTAACAAATCATTCTAGTTAATTAAAAACCAATTTTTTTTTTAATTTTTGTGACAAGGTGGTCCAAAATCGCAAGGCAACTCCCAGGAAGAACTGACAATGAGATAAAAAACTATTGGAGGACTAGAATCCAGAAGAAGGTTAAAGATGGCGAATCAGTCGGTTGTTCCAGCAGCCCAATAACAAATGATGAAGGTAGCTCTTATAACAATACAGGCTTAAGAGTTGGCCTTGAGGAAGCCATGGGAGCACAGCCAAGCCATCCCATTTATCCAAATGCCAATCCACAAGAACCTTTCTTTCCTGCATACAGTGAAAGCAATCTTGGTGGGACATATTTGAGTGTTGAGGATTTCTGGTCCACGCAGTCCTTCAATGGCGTTCATAGAGATTCCTCAATGAATTATGATGCTTGTGGCTTTGACTGGTGAAGATGACTAGTTTTTTTTTTTTTTTTTTTTTATGTATAAATTGATATTATGATGAATATCTACAGTATAAATATAGCTTTTTACTGCCATGGCTTGTGCAATTTATATGGGGCAGATTTTTTTTCTCTTTTTTAAGAGTAATGTATTTGGTTGGGTTTAAGTATGGGGTGGACTTGTCAGATGGACAATAGAGCCTGAGCAATACTGTTTTTAACAATGCAAAAAAAGCAATAAATAATCTATCATGTGCAACATGTGCAAGGGGAATGTGAGATATATATATATATATATATATATATAAGTTTTTATCTACTATTAATTTATTATTATTATTTTATTTATATCCTTTTTAATTTTATTAGCCTATATCCAACTTTGCATTTTAATTTATATTACTGCTTTCAACTTTTTGTTGGGAGCATTTTTTTCAAAGACTGGAATTTTGCATAATATGATAAGTATACTTTGAATCATTATAATGTTCTCTTATACATGGTAGTCTGAGGTATCTTCATTTTAGGTCTTTTAGCTCCAGAATTAGTGTGGCTTTAGGGAGTCATCTGTGTTATATTTTAACAAGATGTTAATCAGTGCTCTTCTCCTTCGGACTTATCTACTTTAAAATTCATTAAAATTGTATTTTATATAATTAATGTTTATAAACCTAATCTCTTAAAAAAAA